GCAGAAACAAAACCACATGTTCTCATTTCCAGTCATTTAGATAAATATCATTGGTGTGGGAGGGAAAGGTTTCTCATTTTCTGGTATCACTGGTAGCGCAAAGTGTAACATGTAACCCATTAAAGACCCATAGAGATCTACAAGAGATCTTTACAATTAAAGATTTCCTTTTGAAGGCAAGTTTAAAATACACAACATTTTGGAAGAACAGATAAAAAGAGACCAGTGGAAACCCACTGCTCCAATGCATTTATATTCAAATTATCTTTAAAGGATTAGTTTGACATTTTTTGGAAATACACTTATTCACTTTCTTGCTCAGAGTGAGGTGAGGATATCATGATCACTGGGATAAGAATGGAGCTGGGAGGCGATTGGCCTAACTTAGCCTAAATGGGGAAACATCTAGTTAAAAAAAATCTGCCTACCATCACCTCTAAATTTCACTAATTAACATTTTTTATCTCTAGTTTTTTATTGGTGCACAAACAGTGAAGGCAGACTAACATTTTTATGTTTTGCCTTGTGTATCTATTTCTTGTCAAACAACAGCAGGAGCAGTAATTACACAGCACAACAGCACAACTCCCACTGAAAAACCACAAATTATTGTTGTAACATTTCTGTTTGTGTACAGATTAAACAAACAAGATGAACATTCGAACATGTTAGTTAGTAAAGTAGAAGTGCTGGTATGCAGACCTTTGAATTTTGAGGAAAGCCAGGCTAGCAGATCCCTTGATTCTAGCTTATGCTAAGCTAGGCTAATCACCTCCCAGCTCCAGCTTAACATCTAGACACAAGAGTGGTCTCAATCTTCTCATCTAAATTTCAGCAAGAAAGCCTGTTTCCTAAAATGTCAAACTTTTTCTTTGAGACAAGACATTTAAAAAACAGAATCAATAAAATAAACACAGTCCTTTCTGTACAAAACATATTTAAAATTATGGACTTTCGATAAGTAGTGTTCCTTCTATACAGCTAAGACATTAAACTCAGTGCAAAGAGAACATTTCATAGTCTCAATTTCTCCATCACATACTGCCAAGAGGCTTAGCAACTATATATATACAGTAAACGGCTACATCAAATTATAAAACCTATGAACCATTATCCTTCAACAATTTTTTTTATGAAATAAAGAATTGAACAGACTGGTCAAACTGCTTACCAATACCTGGAAGTATAATGTTGCATTGAATAAAATTGCAAATATGCAGGGACTGGAAATGATGAATTTTAAAGTATAAAATGAAGCTGTTTTCATGAACCCAATCTTCTACACATTTTAACGTTGAAAAAGGAGACATTGTTTAAAGAAATGATATGCTTGTTATACCCGAGAGGCTTACTGGTTAAAAAGAATGATCTTTGAATCATCAAGATATCTTTGTTTGCCAAGAAGTAAAGCAACTTAAAACTTTCAGATTTTGGCATGCAGTTTGACATGAGGCCCTGTCATGGACTGAGACTGAGAAAGGGAACGGCATGTATCACGGTCAGAAAGAACCCGACCCGGCTTGTAAAACATCCTGATAGTTTGTGGGAGACATCAGTGGTCTGCTCTGGGTCTGTGGCCAAAGCTTTCCCGACATCACTGCAGAGAGATATGTGGAGGCTGGATCAAGTCTCTCCCATCGAGTCTTTTTCTCTCTGTCCATCTCCCGAGTTTGTCCATGTTCCCATTTAACAAACGTGATGAATTAATCTAAACTTAAAATCAAGTTCAGTGAGATGAATATTTATTTGTCTGGTCCTGAGAAGAAATGTCAAAAATGATATGAGATGATCTTGCAATTCAGATTTGTCCTAGTTGCATATTTTTCTGAGAGTACGCACAGTGCAATTAAAGAAATATTTTGACTTCCATTATTGGCCTATAGCATGTACTGTCTGTCACCAGAGGGGTTAGATAGCAGAGAAACAAAGTGGAAAATGTAAGAGCTTAGTGTCTTGCTTATAGGAATTTCAGCTAAGTCAAGAACTTGTTGAGATCCTACATCCTTGAATCCTTCAGACTATCTAGCCACCAGAACAATTTGCAGGTCATAAATGTATCCAGCAATTGATAGACTCCCAGTTTATTAGCATTATGCAAACAGAGACTTAGCAACCTTGATAAATAACTGCAAAGCACAAGGCTATTTTTATGGTGCTCTCCAGCTGCCTTCTTTTTACCTTCCCTTCCCACACTTATTTCTTTATTTTCTTTGTGTCCCCAGGAAGCACCTTGAGAACATTCATTTGGATCAACATAAAATATCTTGATAAAGAGCTTCTGCTAGCTAAGTGACTGAAGCTAATTTTGCAGTTGCTCAGCAAAAGCCAAGACCTACTGCTAGAGTTTCTGCCAGCAAAGGTGCCAATAGCTAGTAATCCATATCAGGCTATTCCATGAATCCTACAAACAATCCTGCTGGTTGCAAGTTACCCAACCTAATAAGTTAAAGTTAAGCTAGCCCATAGCTATCAAGGATCAAATCATGTTCAGGAATGCATAAATTAATTTCAAAATGAACAATTATATGTATATGTTCATATAATTTGACAAAAGGGCTTTCTTTGCCAGTTTCTTTATTTTTAGCACATTTTTCAATAACTGTGGTTTTGGCTCTACCCAGCTTCGGCTCTAGTAAGCACTTCTACAATGAAAGCGCCAATCAGCATTTTTCTTTTTAGTATTTAGAGAAAACTTTAATTTTTTATATTTAGAGTTGGAATCTGTGAGACATCAGCAAGACAAGACAATGACTTGACTAAAAGTATGAGCCAAAACTAATCTTCCCCATATACTTCCTCCCAATCACGTAACAATGGCTCAAATGAACCAAACCAAACTGTGCAGTATGCAAGGAGGTATGAAAGATGATATCATGGAGTATTTATCCAGTGATACAGGCGCTGTAATAGACAGCACTGCTGGCATCAGAGAGAGCAGATATAAGAGGGCTACTCCCTTCATCACACCCACCAGCACCACTCAAAATGCTACTGACATCCCTGTTAATAATACTGCTATTCATGCTACTACCTACACTATTGCTACTTCGCCCACTCTGGACTTTAAGGCCACCCCCACAACCCCCACCACGCCCATAGGCCTCCTCTCGATTTCTTCCAACATTTACATATTGGTCAAATTCATGCCTGTCTACCTCAGACCAAAACTCAGCAGAAGAAGACCCCAAATTGCTGGAAGAATCTGCATTTGAAGGGTCTAAGTGCAAAGTGGGAGGGAAGTTTGACTGGACAATGGAGGAGGAAGAGCAGGAAGAAGGAGAGGTTTCAGGAGGAGGTGAAAGTTGCCCCAGGTGAGAAGGCATGTAATATGCAGCATTCGGGGTGCTGCTCCCGTACATCTGGCTGAAGTAGCCAACAGGAGCAGTGGCTTGATGTGGCATTTGGTGGGATTTAATTGGCTCAGGGAGGCTGATGGAGGGTTGGGAATAGGAAACAGGGGAGGAGGAGTCAGACAGAGGTGGTGGGCACTTTACAGGACTCCGCAAGGTGATGTGGTGACCGGAAGCATGAGTATTTAACCTAGAGTTGACCGAACTCGCCAAAACCGAGGTGACAGAGCTCATGCCTGAGGTCATATTTGACTCAACAGAACTCATTCTTGAATCAATTCTGGAGCTTCTACCAGGACTGGAATTCATACTGGCGCTTAAACTGGGCCCAACACTCATTCCTGAACTCTGACCGTAGGTTGCTGCACCATGTATGGAGTTGTGGTGACTATGGTTGTTATAATTATGGCTGTAATGCTGGTTATGATGGTGAAGGTGGTGGTGGTACCCACTCCAACCTCCCATCCCTGCCTCCTCTTGCACATGTTGGGGGAAAAACACAGATTCCCCAGCTCCATCTTCCAGGATATCCAGAGGGGACATTTCCGGAGTGGGCAGGCCATAGCTCTCCAGCTCTGGGTGTCCTGGGGCCTGGAGGTCCCTGAAGTGCCCAAGAGAGGGCAGCAGGTGGTGAGAATGATGGTGATGCGTAGGGTGGGCACCTGGGTGTCCATAAGCAGAACCTCCAGAGATACCTTCTGCACCCAAGGGACTGACACCAGATCCTAATCCAAGGCCTGGTCCCCCACCCTGGGCTAAGCTGTGAAGCAGAAGCCCTGGTTCAACCCGCTTGAGTTTTTTGGTGGTTTTTTTGCGGCGAGGTCTGTACTTGTAGTTTGGGTGATCTTGGAGGTGCTGGACACGTAGACGTTCAGCTTCCTCTACAAATGGTCGCTTGTCCGTAGCACTCAAGGCCTTCCAAGACTGACCTGAAAGGGACAAAATTAGATTAATATTTTCATCATTTTAGGACCTTCAGCAAAGAAAGATGGTACACAAAAAAAAGGATTGCTTTTAATCTCACTGACAATCAATATCTAAAATTATTTCAGAATCAGAAATACTTTAATAATTCCAGGGGGGAATTGTTTTCATTACGGCTAATAATAATTAATCATTTGATTGATTATGAATTAATTGTCTGGCCTACAAAATATCATAAAATAATGAAAAATACAATCACAAATTTCTGTGATCTTTTTAGTGATATGTTCAAATTGCCTGTTACTTCCACCAAAATGTCCAAAATCCAAAGGTATTCAGTTTACTGTCATAAAGACACACACAAAAAATCATATCTGAGGAGCTGGAACCAACATTTCTGCATAGAACAGATAGATAATATCAAAATATATAAATCTTAAATAGATCAATCAATCAATAACTGGTGTTCATTATTATGTGCTAAATTTAACCCTCAGTGTTTTTTAAATGACATTGTACATGTTCAAGGCGCCGCTGTGGTTCCAGGATGCCAGAACATCCTTGTGAGCCAAACAAATTAAACTGCGGTGATGAAAATGACAGCATTTACACTGAAGTCATTAAAGTTTACATCGTCAAACAGCTCAACTGACTTCTACATCACCACCTGTGTACTGCTTAAATGCTCATTTAAGACAGGTCCTGTTTCTGTAATGCTTAAAACAGAAGCAGTAAGGAAACACGCTCTCAACAACACGTAGACATTGTTGAGAGCACTGGAATAAATGTCCCACACAGTTTAATTTTGTGGGATGCTCTTAATGGTATTTAATCCAAAAGGTCTCCAAAAACATGTATTTGTACCTTACATTAAGTGCTTCCATTCCCAGTTTGTCTTATGGTTGTATATACCAGCAGCCTTGAGATTTAAGAAGCTTGTTTCCTTCCAGAAACTTTACGGTTTGAATCTCAGAGTGAAAATCTCAAGCCGCAGATTGACTCAGTATGATATATTGTATCAATAAACAGAGTAAAATTAAAAAGAGCATCTTGCTAACAGAAAACAGTAACAGATAAACAAGTCAGTAAAAACGGTTGCATGAACTGTAATCTGATTACACTGTTGCACTTTTGTAACATCAACATGAAGAATTTTAATATTATGGCACAAATGTTAAATTACTTTTGGCATTAACAACTATTGAGTTGGGAATTGAAAACTAAGACTTCCTAATTTGATTGATTAATTAATTTCTCCTTTCACTTGTACACACAAGGCCCACTCTTGGAATTAAATCATTTCACTTAATATCTACTCAACAATACATTAAAACAAGTAAACAACTTGCGTAGTTTGCATCAATCCTGTTTTCAATCATGGAAAAATTAACAATACACTGTAAGCCCTGGTCCCTGACTCCATATGATTGGCTCCTCTTTAACTGAGACTACCTGATTAAATAAAGGATTATCTAAAAATATATAATCAAAAACTGCCCCTTTTCCCATCAAATCCTCATCCCCTGCTGAGTTAAAAGATGGTCATAAAAAGTTTGTAGTTTCCTCACAGGGGGAGAACAGCGGTTGTGGTTACTTTGGATTCATGTTGGTCACAGTGGACTCCATATTTTCACAAAGCTACAGGGTTTGGAATATAATGAGCACATGATTGACAGCGGATAAGTGAGTTATGCTGCAGGAGTGGTTTGAGAAGTTATGGATATGGATTTTTTTCCCACTGACACTGAGGAAACTACAAAGTTTTTACTCTTTGAGTCTACGTTTGATGCTCACTTTATTGTTGTCACTGTAATGTGGAGATCTAGACATGAAATATAATATTTATCATCTCACTGCAGGTTTTTTTTTAACATGTGAAATTGTGCACTTGTTCTTCAGCCAATCATAATGTATTACAAATGTCAGTAAAGAGTGAAGATGTTAATCATAACATTTACATTTGTTTTGTCAAAAGAAGAATGTAATATGCATATCTTAATATAAATATGTGCATTTGTGAGTCAGACATGTATAATTCTAATATGACGCTATCCATGGTTTATATTAGTACTACTAGCACTACTGGGACAACAGTGACTCAGACGGGTGGGGTTTGTCACACTGAGCAACATTGGTCAAAGACTTTATAAAAATTACTTTTATAAAACTTTTGTTTTACATGTTGGTTCAGACAATCTAAACTTTTTCAGGGCTCAAAACCCTCTTCAGACTAAGATGATCTCAGCCAACAGTCCTAGAATGAAAGATCATTGTCGCCTGAAGATGCTTTCAGGAAACTGGGTCCTGATGTGGGAAATTTCACACTTTAATAAAACTCTTGATAAATATTTAAAAAGCTGCTAATCCTAATTGGATTCCATATGTCTGGTTGCATTACTACATACAATTTTTGAGTTTTTTCTTTCCCTGATTCTGTTCTCTGTCTTACCGAGCATCTTGCTGAGCACAGCATTGTGCAGGTCGGGGTTCTGCAGGGCCAGTCGCTTCCTCTCATCTTTAGCCCAGACCATGAAGGCATTCATAGGCCTGCGGATCCTCTGCTCACCCCCAACGGCTTTCCCATCGACCGTGCCTGCCGACATACCTCCCGCCTGGGTCATGTCCGGACTCTGTCCCCCCGAACTGGGTGTGAGAGAAATCCTAGGTTCTGTCCTCCTCATGCTCCCGCATCCGAGGCCGTCGGGTGAACTGCAGTCCCCGGAGAGGTTCTGCTCAAAACCCATTTCAGAATCAGAGGCGGGGCTTGGGGTCCTGGACACCCAGGGGCCCCCGAGAGACACCCGATTGGCATGCAGAAGAGTCTCTCTAGACAAACTAGGCTCGGTTAAATTCATTCCAGAACCGGGCTTGGATTCAACTTTTAGTCCAAGTGATATTCTGCAAACGTCTGTCTCAGTTTGTTGGGTTGCAAAGTTCTGGAAAAAATTTGTAATTCAAAATGTTTCAGATGACAAAGAGAAAGATCAAGAGAGGAATTTGATGGATTTGGAGCACAAATCCCAAAGCAAAGCATCGAGATCTGAGAGGAGGGGGAAGATGAGAAAGAAAGAGAAAACAAACAAGTTGTGGTGCAGGATATTCCCCCTGAAAATGATCCACAATGACTCTGCCTCTTTCTTTTCTTCACTCGTTCACAGTTCTTGTTTGGAGTGTGTGGTGCAGCGGTTTGTCCAAAGCTCGATTCCCCTCCGTCACTTAGGCCGTCCGACTCACTGTCTCTCTGTCTGCCTGCCCTGTTTGAAAGTTTTGAAACTTGTGGCCAGATTTAACCGACCCACGCTGAGTATATATACCCCGCCCTGACCAATCACATAAATATATAGTTGGGGATTTAACCAATGAGACGCCAGGCGGGCGCGAGGGGAAGGGACGAATGTGTGTGGGAGACAGCAAAGGAGGTTGGGGGGGGGGCAGGTCCAAGCGTTGCCTCCCCCCTCTTTCCTCCTCCACGACCGCCACCCTTTCCTCCCCCCTGAAGCTTCACACACACACACACACACACACACACACACACACACACCCTGTCCGCCTGTAACAGGGAGAATGTATCAGAGAGGTTCCATTGTTTCCTGCCCCAACTGAGAACGGAGCTTCTCACACACGAATACGACACATTCAGACACAGCCCGCATTCAAACTGTAGCACGACACGACATTTCACCCACACGATACCGACGCACACACACATTCACACACATACACACACACACACACATATACATAAATGGACAGATACATGCTCTAACACGCATGCATGAAACAAGCATATTAAAGTGAGACTAAGACGATGTATAATTAAGTTTTTTATACAAATGAGAGACAAAACATGAACACACACACACACAAACATACACACACATAGTATTTGTTTCCATATGTGCTAATGTGGGCTTACAGTGCCTGTGTATGTGTGTGTGTGTGTGTGTGTGTATTTGAGGGCAGGACAGCGGTAACACAGACAACCACAGTCCCGACCAAAGCGATTAGTGGCTCAGCTTAACAACAACTCACTGAGAGAGAGAGAGAGAGAGAGAGAGCGAGAGAGAGAGAGAAACAGAGGGAGAGAGAAGCAATCAGGGGCTGGGGTCGGGGGGTCTGGGGTGGTGCTGATGGGGTTCGGGAAGGCTGCACCCATGCAGTAAAGTTCCAAGTTTGATTGATGCAACAGTAGCCACTTGCTCGTACAAGATACTGAACTGCACTGGAAAGTGGTTGCATGTATGATTAAACAACTATTGATTATAATCAATTATTCAAATGATAGGAAATTAATCAGCAACAATTTTGATAATCGATTATAAGTGTATTTATTAAGCAACAATGCCAAACAGGTTCCAATTATTCAAAAGAGACAATTTGCTGCTGTTCTTTCTTTCATATCACTGTGAACTGAAGACCTTCAGAAAACAATGAGTTTATAAAACAGATCAACATTTTTCATGTATGATACTTTAGATGTGATGTGATAGTATGTGACACAGTGGAGTGGTACAGTGGTGAAGGTGTTGTGCCATTGCACTCAAAGTTAGAGTTAAGACTCAGATGAGAATGAACAGATGCACATTCCCTCCGGGTTGGACGGACTGAGGCAAAGAGTTAAAAATGTTTCACTTTGAGCCAAAACCATCAAAATAATCTATAACAGTTACCTTTTCAGAAAGTGTGAACACACTGACACGTGGTGCTTTCAAGTGCTGGTCAGGGAATCTGGTATCATGGCAGCCAACTGCAGGACAGTGTTGCATTCACGAGCTACTTCAAGATGTGGGAAATTAATCCCAGAAGATTGGCTATAAACAAATATGGGCATGATGAAAGGTTTATGGGTTTTACCAGCTCATTGCAAATAAAGTTTTTTAGTGTCAGAAAATAATACGGAGACAAACACTGCGTCTTGGACACAGTTACTGCCTGCTGAGAGAATTTGAAGGGAAATAACTGACTTTAAAGTCAGACATTATTTTCAAACTCATCCCTCAACTAAACGACCTCTTAAGATGAATATTGTATGTGGTGTGTTTGTCTGCCAAGGACATGCCCCCCTACCCCCTCCCTCCACCACAATATAATGACCCCCTGTGCACACACACACACACACACACACACTTACTTTCCTCCCCACGCCCAGCTCCAGGGGAGACTGCTGCGGCGTCTCAGAGCCTCCTGCTAGTCCAACCAGGAACTACTCCCACTTACCGCTTCTGTCCCAGGCTCCCTGTGTGTGTGTGTGTATCTGCTGCATCTTTATGTCATTGTTTATGGTGTGTAAGTACAGTAAGTCTCAACCTCTAATCTGTGACATAAATCTGTCTACATATTATATTATCTTATTATACTTCATAGAAAGTTCTGTGAAATGACTGTAAGTTGGGGCGAGAGTTGTGCATCTGAAAATTTACAGCGTGTTCTTAATCATGTTATAAATTTTACTTTGAAGCTATGGCTCGCAGAATGCTTGAATTCATTCATTCATTAAACTTGTGTTAATACAGGTTGCTCCACAGAGTTTTTCATTCTCTTCTGCATGGGCACAGCACGTACAGGGATGGGTAAAAGCTTCATCGAGATATACATTAAAACAAACAAAAGTGACAATATGGCATCAAACCTGTGATAAATATGTTTAAATACAAATTTCAGTTCAGTTCAGTCATTTATTTTCCCAGATGGGAAACTTGCAGTCAGGGGCACAACGTAAAAAACAACACAAGAACAAAAGTATCAAAATACAAATATGATTACTGTACATACAAAATGCAGTACATCATAACAATAACAATAAAACAACAATGCTAAAATTACATGTGCAAATAAGATGCTAAAATTAAAATTGCATGTGCAAATTGAGCAGGGTTATTAGTTTTTATTCACATTGCATTTGAACGTTGTTACTCTAAATCTACAGCCTGAGGGAAGAGGGTGCAGGGGGTGGTTTATACAGTCCAGTATGGACCTGGCCTTCTGGAGAACCTGCTGATTAAGATAGCCATCAGGAGGTTCTGTGGAATACGTGGCACCTTCCCAGCCAACTGAACAATGTGGTTCAGGTGTTTTTTTTTAATCCCTTTTGTTTAGGTTACCGTACCAAGCAATCACCGAAAAAGTAAGAACAGATTCAATAAAAGACTTATAAAACAACAATGACATCATTTTCCAGTCTACATTAAAAACATCTAACTCCCTAAGGACGTACAAACGTTGGTGGGCCTTCTTACAGCATCGGAATTTACATCAAATTTCAAGTTATTATCGATGACTGTTCTGAAAAGGTTTGGGAAACCCTGGAGGTACTTTGAGCGAGTACTTCCCTCAAAATAAATTGTTGTATTTACAATTCTGTTCTTTTATGGTTTAACCAATTACTTTAGAAACATTAGATTTGTTTAAATTGGTGAGCTTTTATTGGTAGTAAGTGTAATTTTGAACTTCGTACAGAACCAGCTGGGTACCCCTGCTTCCAGTCTTCATGCTAAGCTAGGCTATCACCTTCCAGCTCCAGCTGTACTGAACACACACGCAAAAACAAGTGCTGTATTGATAGCTTGATTCTAAGTGACTGACTGGACTGGTTTTGATGGTGGGGGAAACCGGAGCAGCTGGAGAAAACCCACGCAGACACAGGGAGAACATGCAAACTCCACACAGAACTGAGAGTCTAGCTGTGAGGTGACACCATGCTGCATCTAGTCCAAATAAGTGTATTCCCCAAGATGTTGGACTATTCCTTTCACTCCTATTAAGTATGCTAACATCTAGACATAGAATTTTATATTTGAACATACTAACATTTAAAAGTGCTATAAACCATGGTCTTGTATAGCACAAGTGGAAATTTAGACCTGTGCTTGATGTAAAGTCAGACCACCAGGCTTCATCCTCTGGGGACCATGGATGTCTGTATAGAATTTATGGCAACCGTTATATATTTATTGAGACATTTCCCTCCGAAATTCGACCAACATCGCCATCCCTGGAGCCACGCAGAAGTTGCAGTCTCCCTTTTTAAATCAGTTCATTAATTTTGCTGTCATACAATATGTAAGTAATCAGAGGCAGAGGAAATAATGGACTCAGCAGAGGAAACATTACATTGCCTGGCATCCAGTGTTTTTCACCTTCACCACATCTTTTATGTCCTTAAATCAGGACATTATTATGGCTTAATGCCCCATCCACAGTGTGGATGTTTCTATAACTAAACAAGGAAGAATTTGTGTGTGTGCGTGCGTGTGTATGAGTGTGTGAGAGAGAGA